AGCAACCCCCTAAGAAAGCTGATCTTGAGCAAAATGACAATATTCTGATTGGAAATTTATCAAAGCTACCAAATCAACAGGGAAGCAATAGTAAAACAGCAAGTATGAAAATAAGATACGCAAAATTAGAGCCAAAGGACCAGTGGCTCTGAGGTAGGAGAAGACAGTATCTGGAACAAGGTTCTGGTTGGTTTATCTTTTGCGTAAGACAAGCATGACGGAAAAAAATGAAGTAACAGGTAAGCCAACTATACACTGTAGGAAACAATGGAACAATCAGGAGTAAACAAGAAAATCAGGCTAAAATTGAACTCAGAAAATAAGGTGCTCAGGAAGCCAAGAAGACTAACTACGTAGTTACCAAACAATTTGATTTCTCAAGAATAACACCGGGGCATGGTGATGGAGAATAAGCCAAGTTTAAAAAAAAATAAGAGATAATGAAGCATGTTATCAAATACTAATAAACACTGGCCTCTTCAGACCAATTAAATGGATTTAAATGCCCCCAAAAATCACTGTTAAAAAAATAAAAGAGCTAATGGAAGAAGGTGCTTCAGGAAGACAAGGCTCCTGAATGCCTGGCCATTAAGCAAGATTTTCAAAGATTAAACTCACTGCTGCTTCTCCCACTATCCCCACCAACCCAACACCTACTGATTTCAGGAATAGATTATAGGATCTTCCATGTAGGTCTCACGGACAGAATGGTGAAAATGTGAGTAGGAGGGAAGTAGAGTGAGCTAAATCTACAGCAGACTGAACAAGGTGCTCATACTATGCTTGACTCCATCCTACTCAACATGATTATCAACAAGACCTGAACACACCAACAGCAAACCAGGCTTGCAAATAGTACAAGATGGGAAAGTGACAGCTGATACTACTGAATGCACAGTCATTACCTTCCTACCATGTCCTCCTCTTCCGGCTAGATCAGCATCTCCCAAAATGTGTTCTACAGAACACTGATGCGTGGAAATGAGACCTGAAAAATGGCCCCCCAAGTTTAAGACATTTGGAGAATTCAACACTTCCTTTCTTCTTAGTCATCAGCACATCAAAGGCTCCCAGAAATCCTATAATAAACAAACCTTGGTCTTGGTTTAACCAAGTGTTTTCTAAACATTTGCTCATAAAACTCTTTTCACACAGTAATCATTAGCTGAGGATGGCCTAAAGTTTAGGCTCTAAACCATGTTCAAATTTTCTATGCTAAAAAATGATTCAATTCCTTGAGCTACTTCTGTCTCATCATTCTTCCACTATCAAACTTTAAAAAAAAAGAGTTGACACTTCCTGCCTCCTATTTCCTCACCACCCACTCACTTCTCTACCACTTGCAATCTAGCTTCAGCCCTTGGTGCTCTACTGAAAGTCTTCTCATGATGTGAACAATAACTGCACAACTCACAGAACTAATGGCTTCTTCTCCATTTCTCAACCTCTTTGCAGGATCAGATAGTAATAGTCACACTTCTTGAAACTCTCTCTTCCCTAAGATTCCACAACACTGCATTCCACCCATCTCTTGACTATTGTGATCTTCTATGGTTCCTCTTTTCTCTTTCCAGCCCTTAAATTCTCAGACCAACTCTTACTTCACCCTTAAGTAAACTGCCCACAGTTTGAACTATTGCTCCCTTGTGGATCTACAAGTTTAATCCCAAGCCATTTCCTTGACTTCAGATCCACATCTGCAATGGGCTTCATGATTTGCTCACTTTACTTTTCTCCAAGGACTATAAAATCAATATACTCCAAACTAAACTCATCAATTTCCCCACCAAACTTTCTCTTCTGTCTTCTTGATTTCTGTTAATGGAATGAACATTCCCAAGAGCAGCAGAGTTAGCTGCTTTCTCCTCAACATGCCCCTAAAACTGTGAATCTGCCTCTATTAAAGTAACTATTACAATGCACTCTATTTAACTCTCCACCTGGACTTGAAGCTCCTCAAAGCAGAAAATACTGTCAATCATCTGTATGGCCCCTGTGTGTGAAGACACAGCAGAAGTTCAATGCTCTTGGAAAAATGGATGAATCTTTCCAATCAGCATGATTAAAAACTTTTAAATTATGTCCAATTGATGCCTCAATCTTCAAAATCCAGTAACATAGCAGTTCTCTCTCGTACTTCTACAAAAGTTCTGGATTCTTTTCAAGTACAAGGCCACTATCCTTCATCAGACTTAAATGAAACCCCAAACCTAAACTACAACTGTCTCCTAACCGGGCAATCCGTCTCCAGTTTCCCACTGTCTCCAAAATATCACTGCTGCCAGAGCAATCCTTCTAAAGTGCTACTCTAACCATATCACTTCTTGCCTCAAAAACCTTCAATGGTTTCCTACTGCTTCTAGAATACAGTCCAAACCCCACAGCATGCTATCACTGCCTTCTATGTTTGGACCTCAACTATCTATCCATTCTTACCTCCTACTACTCCATATGTTCTAGTCCAGGGGTTGGCAAACTAAAGCCAAAGGGCCAAATGCAGCCTGCTGTCTGTTTTTTGTAAATAAAATTTTAATGAAACAGAGGCATACTCGTTTATGTATTGTCTGTTGTGCTACAATGGCAGAGTAGTTGCGAAAGAGACCATATGACCTGCAAAGCCTAGAAAAACCAAAAAGAACAAACCCATTGCCGTCGAGTTGATCTGACTCATAGTGACCCTATGGGACAGAGTAGAACTGCCCCATAGGGTTTCCAAGGAGCACCTGGTGGATTTGAACTGCCAATCTTTTGGTTAGCAGCCGTAGTTCTTAACCATGTGTTACCAAGGCTCCACAAAGCCTAGAATACTTACAATTTAATCCTTTACAGAAAAAGTATGCTGACCCCTGTATGAACCTAACAGATAACTTGTTATTCCCTGAAAATGGCCTGTTTCCCCACCTCTACTCTTTTGTTCATGCTGTTTCCATCATTTGAAAAGCCCTTCCCTGCTTTTAATCTAAATTATACATATTTTTTAAAACCACGCAAATGCTACCTTTTTCATGAAGATCTCCCAGATCCCTGAAGCTAAAGTTGAACTTCTCTGTGCTTCCAGGGCAATATCTGTACCTCTCCCCAACATTTACCACATTGTGCCTGATGTTAAGGTTACTGGAATAAATGTATTTCTACTTCTATACTGTAAGCTGTCATAGTCATCTTTGCAACCCCCATAAAGCGTAACAGTTCCTCACTTTATAAATGTTGAATCGAAATGAACACTGACAAACTCAAATACCAGGGCTGAATTCAACAAGATAAAATTTAGTAGGGAGACATTCTTAAGGTTTAAGGCAGGTCTTCCCATTCAATTGCATAAGACGAAACAGGGGAGGCTTGTTTTGACGGCTGCAGACAGGAATAATCTAGAGCAGAGTTTCTCAATCTCGGCACTGGTGACATTTTGTGCCAGGTAATTCTTTGTTGTAGGGGGCTGTCCTGTGCACTGTAGAATATTTAACAGCATCTCTGGCCTCTACCCTCTAGATTCCAGTAGCATCCCCATAGTATGACAACCAAAAATGATTCTGGACATTGCTAAATGTATCCTGCAGGGGCAAAATTGCCCCCAGTTGAGAACTACTAGTCTAGAGGTTTCCCAGTACAAACTGTGGTGTGATGTTGTTGCTAATAAAATATAAATTATTTATTAATTGTAAAGTGTCCAGATTAAGGGTCCCACTGTATTCAGTGCTAAATGATTCACACTAGTGAGACTGCGTTCAATTCTAGATTTTAAGAGGACTTCGGAAAACTGGAATTTATACAATCAAAGGTGACCAGGCTAATGAGATGGGAAAAATGTCATAAGAGGGATATTTAAGTAAATGGAAACGTTTAGCCTGTAGAAGAGAAGATGAAGAGAAATCCATGATAACGATCTTTGAATATCTGATGGGCTGTCCTGTGGGAGGAAGGTTAACTTGCTGTTACTCAGGGAGGCAGAACTAGAACCAGTGGGTGGCAGCTGCAGGAAGACAGATTTTGGCTCTATGCAAGTAAAAGCTTTCTAACGATCAGAGCTGGCCAAAAATGTACTGAGCTAAGCTGTGAAACGCTGTGCTCCCGTCATTCTGGAAGTGTTCAAGCAGAGCCCTGATGAACTGATGTCAGAGATGCTGTAGAGAGATTTCTGCTCGGGGTGGCAGGTAGATATGATGGTCTCTCTAAGGTTCCTTCTAGCTCTAGATTCTAAGGCCAGCAAAGGAAAAGCCATGTGTCATGAATAATAAAATTACCCGATTTCAATATATTTAAATTACAAAAAAAGAGACACATATTTTGCTAAACAATTTGCCCTATTTCTGTTTGGTAACATAGTTATTCCCTGACATTGTAACTACCAGTGACCTGTTTTTTTCTAAATAACCTGTAATCAGTTATTGGATACCTTTAAAGTTTACCATATTTTTTATTCCACTAATAGCCACCACCAGTACAATCTGTACAATGCTTTACAAAGCATTCTGGCATGCATAACCTCACATTAGTTAAATATGAATGGGAAACCTTACTTTAGATAAACTGCTCTCATTTACTGTCTCTTGCCTGAATTTCTTGTGAAAGAAAGCTAGTCTTTATTATTCATTAAACACTCTGTAAGATAATAAAGCATATGCCAGCAGAGACCCATCTCCAAAACAAACCACTTATACACAACACAGAGATGAGTCAAATCTAGCTATTTCACTATCAGATAAGCCAAATCTAGTTATGTCAGCATCAGAACCATAGTTACCCCTCAATGAAATTTCTATTTTATTTATGATTTGGGGAAGAAAACTGGAGGAATTATATATATTTAGTTTTCCAAAAGTTCAATGTAGCTATACAAACCAATATTTCCAAAAAGCAAAAAGCTGTCACAACAAAACATGAAGCACATGTAGTGATTGTCCTTTACTCCCTAACTAAAATTGCCAACAAGAGTTGCTGAAGCAGCCAATGTTCAACTTTCCCCAATGCCAAACTGGACCCTCACCTCCTCCTTTACTTACTTCTTTACGTTTCGTTTCTGGACATTCCGACTGCAGAGTGAGAGTTGCACCTTCAATATTTCTTGGCATGGGCGTGGAACCAGGGTTTATTGTTAAATGAATTTGATCTGGTGAGATAATGTGTTGCACATAACCCTGCGACATTGCTTCATGATCTATTAGGTGAAAGCCCTCTTCACCCCCGACTAGAAAAGGCAAATGTTCTCCGCACTGTCCATCGTCTTCTTCATCCTCCAAAGTGCTAGGGTCCTGCTCAATAAGAACAGTTGTCCTATCATAAACAGTTCCAGATGAGGAAGGCACCAGTCCATTTTTATCCACAAACCTGAGCATCTTGTCATCGGGAGTCAGCTCATCTTCCTCTGCCTCAAAGTAAATGATGTTGTCGTCTGGACTGTGTTCCCCCATGGTTCAATAGTGCTCAGCCCAATTGTGAGAAATGGAAAGGTAATGACCCGTCTGCAATAGAACAAGGCCAGAGTTAGAGCCACACCACAGGACCCAGGGGCCTCCTCAGCAGCAACAGGGCTCATCTTTCCTCTCATTTAAAGAGCAGGACACAGCAAATAAAAATCATCTTCCTCGGGAATAACTGTTTTAAGTTTAACTTTGAAATCTTCAAGTCAGTTTTAAGGAAAAGCAATGCCTTTTTAAAAAACTGTGAATAAGTAGCAAATGAGTTCATAAGACCTTCTGAGTGTACCTTCCTGTCAAACAATGTGAAGACTGGTCAAAATACCTAAACGGGATAAAGGAACAAACAGAACAGTAGCTGCTTCAGGCTGAGTTGCTGTAAATACTAAAGTAAGAAAACCCCACCCAAATATTCCCCAAATCAGATCATGAGGAAGTGCAGTCTATGGCAGAAGAACAAGACTTTGGAGCCATACTCACCTACCTACAAAACCTGGCTTTGCCCTTTGCTACTTGGGTAACTTTTCTGTGTTTCATTTTCCTTATGCATAAGTGGGACTAGTAATTCCTGTTCTCTCAAAGTTGTCACAAGGAATAAAAAACATAATGTATGTAAAGCACAATGTCTGACAAATAGTAAAGGAACAGTGTTAATTCCTTCCCTCTTTCCTAGAACAGATGTTTCACCTTCTGGGTGGAGAGGGTGCTCCCTAATCGGATACACCTAATGAAGATTACTTTATCTTTTTCTCTCCTAAAACAATTTCGTGTTAACCAGAAGTTATGCCAGTATAGTGGCTCTCTGCAGTGAAGGAATGATGACTCTTAACTTATTTTTGTTTCTACAGCCCTTAGCAGAGTACACTGACACTAGAAGTTCAGGACATGTTAGATGAATGAATGAAAGACCTACAGATATATTCTCCTGGGCAAAATACCAAATCTGAAGCCTTCCTATTCTGGAATAGTGATTCTTCCTTCACCTCCAAACACACAGGTTCTACAAATGTGGGTATGGCAGGCAGAAGGGAATGTAAAAATAATCAACACATCACTTTTAGTTTTCGGTCTGCCTTTGCACTTTATCTTTCTCTTCTGCTGTAGGTTAGAAAGTGCCTTTACATAGTCGGGCGGTTAGACACAGAGGTAGTTACCAGGGAAAGGCCAAGGGATCAGATACGGGAGGAACCGGCTCGACCCCTGGCTCTCGCTTACGCAACCCGGTAGATGCACATTTCGCTGCATCTGAGAGCAGAGATAAGAGCACCGAGAGCCCCACTGGGCTGTCCCGGCACCATCAGCGGCAACGCGGAGATCAACTGTCCGGAACAAACAGAACAGGTTTGAAGGTGGCAAACGAGGAGTACGAACGAAGCACCTCAGAGAGGAGGCTGAGGAAAGAAACCTGTCTGGGAAAGCCCCCAACCCAAGGATACACGGAAAAATCCGAGACAGAATGGGGTGCTCCAAGCCGAGCGACGAGGGACAGGGTCCGGGTCTCCATGGAAACAGAGGAGGGGGGCTGGATACCCATCCCCATGGAAACGGAGGAGGGGTGGGGTCCCTATGGTGACCGGATTGGGGTCTCAACTGGGAAATGCTTCAAAGGGAGCCTAAGTCTCACGCCCCCCGGGAAGTCCCAAGCCCAGGCCGAGTCTAGTTTCGTCTTTTACCTCTGCGGCTCCCGGCAACGGCGGCAGCAGCAGCTTCTCCCCTCCCCAGCGGCACCATGATTGCCCCCACCTTCCCCAAACGTCACTTCCGCTTCCGCTTTCCGGAGGAAGGAAGAGAAAGCCGCTTTGCCTCTCCCTGGGGCTTCGGGTTGGTTTAGGCGGTCTGGGGGCTGAGTTCGAGCCTCCAATTGGCGAGCAGGAAGGGGCGGGGTGGGGCACCGAGGGGACTTCACCAGGGCGGTGAGTTGGACTAGCGTCGCGAAGCGCCGCAGACTCCACGCGACGGGTCGGAAGCCCGGGTACAGCTGCGGCGGCCTTAGACGCAGGGACCGGGCGGATTAACCACTAAGCAAGGATTTAATTGTGTGTATTTACTAATCACTAGTAAATACACACAAGTAAACCCTTGCGTACTTTGTTTGTTGGATAATCCGGCCCTGCGCAGGAAACGGGCACGAACCCCCAACCCCTAATCCGAAGGCGTTTCAGCCCGTTTAGGCTGGCCGCTCTCTTCCTGGCGGCCACAGCTGCAACTGGAAGGATAACAGTCAGCCATCAGAATCCCGGCTCGGACCCGCAAGGGGAGAGCCTAGGAGAATTCTCGGATTGCAGTCTCATGGCCCTAGCTCCCCCTCATCACTTATTAAAGTTAATATAGGCGAGGACAGGGACTCAGTAGGGAAATTAAGAAGACTAGACCTAGGAGACAGAGCTAGGAGTACTCCAAGCCAAGCCGGAGAGGACGCCGCCGCTCCTTCCGGTTCTCATACGCTTTCAAAAAAAAAAAAAAAACAAAAACCAACCCGTTGCTGAAGAGTCGATTCCGACTCATAGGAACCCTAAAGGACAGAGTAGAACTGCCCCATAGTTTCCAAGGGGCATCTGGTGGATTTGAACTGCCGACCTTTTGGTTAATAGCTGTAGCTCTCAACCACTACGCCCCCAGGGTTTCCTCATATGTTTCAGAAGGGCCCAATTCCCTTCTCAACACTCCTGCCCAAGCTACCTGCCCCAGCTTTTCCCTGTGGAGGATTGTCAGCTCAATGGGGCTCGAGCTCAGGCCACTCAACTCCACCTACTGGCCCTTTACTTTCTTTAACCGTTCACGTTTTCATTCCAGTCCATTTCTAAAATCGCGTTTTATACCGCCGAGCAGTGGCATTCCCGTGCCCAAAAAAGCACTCTTTTTCTTGTGCCTTTGTTATGCTCCTTTCACTCAAACTCAAATACCAGGAAGATCTCTCTATTAGCACTCCCAACAGCCACTGCCTGTATTTTCCCATGAGCTGCCTCTCAGAGTGAGACAACCCCCAAAGAGTCTAGATCAAGGTCATGGGGTTCAGGCCATGACTCCACCATCTCTTGCTTGAAAAATGAATAGTACCTGTTACCCACCAGACTGCCAGGCAAATGTCTCTTTTGTCCCTGACCAACTGCCCCAATACTTACACCACAAATGCCCAGCAGTCAAGAGCTGCCATCTCTTGAGAGAAAAATATACACACCAACCACTGTTAAAAAATACATTTATCATCAGAATATATTATACATTTGAGAGAAAGGATGCATTATATACAGTTTGGAGGATTTGCCGGACCAGAAAATTCCACTTGTTTCATCAGAACACCAATTTCTTCAGTGTTTTCATTTTCAAGACACTGTGTTGTCCCCAGTGGCCAGCCTCAGTTACTGAGCCACATTTGAGTAGGTAGAGGGATAGGATCTGCATATGCATATACACATGTCCTTAGACTAAGCACTGGAAGCATCTGGGGTGGTTGCAGTCTGTGTCCAGCAGCTTCCACCTGCATTCTTGCCGTCCAACTCACTCTCCTTTGAGGACTCCAAAGTTTGTTTAAATGATATCTGATCATGCGGAGCTCAGCCCAGGCCACAGGGAAGGCGCTGACTATGCCCTGGAGGCAGACTGATTGAGTACAAGAAGTATAGTTATTTTTTATATTTAAAAAATAAAAAATAGAGATATATCTGTGTTAAATAACAAAAGTTGAACATTGAATGTCAGTTTTATAGTGGTAGGTGTTCCCCTATGTCTTCACAACTCACAGTAGCACTGGGTGTGCTAGCCATGGGGTTCTGGGCTCAGGAAACAGGCAGCTGCCAATTCTCGCTTCCAAGAGGCCTCATACCCTCTTAAGACAGCCCTTGAGCTGAAACAGGTGGGGCTCATAATGGCTGCCTCTCATAAAAAAGGGGAGAAGATAGGGAGGCTCAGAGAGAGTTGCAGAGGAACTGGTGAATAAATTCTTGAGCCTTCTTCTTCTCTGCCATTTCAAGCTTTTGGTGACCAGCTGGGTTTCGAAGCAGCAAACTGCCAAATATGCTAGCTGCATGAAAAACACAGAAAACAAATGATTCAGCAGAAGAAGGTACTACTTATTCTTGTGTTGTTAGGAGGGAGGAGAATGACCAAAAACAGTATTCTCTGCTTTTAGAAAAACTCGTGGAGTGTTAAACTTTCTCCAGAGCTTGAGATTTTAGTTCTATTGCAGTGGACTTGGGACCATCCTCAATCACATTTTGCATAATGAGTCTCTCAGTTGGCAGAGATGCTTCTCACAAACACTTGCCTGCTTACCTAGAATATTCTCATCCAAATGATTTTTTGCTGAATTTCTCAGCAATTCTTGCAAAAACGCCATCAAGTAGTTGAAGACATTTCTGTGGAATGTGGGGAGAGTGGAAATGACCTGAAAGAGCAAGAATTGGTGTTTGTCTTCTTGTTCATTCAATCGACTGTTTCGTCAAGTGCCTACTATCTTCCAGGAACTAAGTACATGATCCAAGTACATGAGTAAGACTGTGCACAGAAAATTCTGATCACTTGGCACAAGTGCCAGAAGAGGCAAAGATCAAGCACTATGTGAATTTAAAGGTCATACTTGTAACTGCATGTTTTCAGATGACTTCAAGGAATAGAAGGCATTTTAGTTGGTCTTGAATATAGAAAATTGGGCTTAAAGAAGCAAGGAATAGGGTATTTAGAGCAAAAGAAACTGTTAAAAAAAAAAAAAAGGCAAGAGAAGGAAATCAGTGAGATAAATCAGGAGAATACACTGTGAGAAGTCAATTTCGGCAGGAGCACAACTGTTTAACAGGCGCTAAGCCCTGAAGAGTTGATCAGGCTAGGATTCAATAAGTACTCCAACTACGTGCATATCAGAATCAGCTGGGGAGCTTGTACAAAACTGATTCCTGGGCTACATTTACAGCAATTCTGATTCAGTGGATTTGGGGTGAGGCTCTGGAACCTGTATTATTAACAAGTTTTCTAGATTATTCTGCTATGGTCTATTGTATATGTGAACCACTAGGCTAGATTACAGAAGGTCTTAAATATTTGCTTAAGAAAATCATTAACTGGCAATGGGGAGCCAATTATGGTTTTTGAGCGATAGTAACATGATTAAAGTGAGCATTAGGAAACACAATCTGAAGGCAGTATGCAAAACAAATCAGCAGAGGGAGAGCCTGGATGCAGGGCCTTGAATCAAGGTAAGAGGACTGAGGATGGAGGAGGAGGGAACATGGGCCAATGGGATCAATGGGATTTGGCATGTGGGAGGTGAGAGGCAGGGAGGAGACATATGACTCAGGTTTCGGGGTTGAGTCGCTGAAATTAATGGTGATGGCATTAAAAGGAAAAAGGACATGAGAGGAAGAACAGGTTTGGGGAGTAATGATATGAAGCTGAGTTCCTAAGACACTGCATTTGAGGGATTGTGCCCACTTTGTCCCCTCAGGTCCCTTGAGGCCTGGGGCTAGCAACGTGTATATGCAGATGCTCAAGGCTCCCCCTCACCTGTTTACTTGCTGTGTAGTTGCCAGAACACTCCAAGCAGCTATGGAAGGCGCTGTGACAGATGACAGGCTCTGGCAGGCTCTCAAGGAAAAGCAGCAAGGCCTCGGCTACAGAATGATTGCTAGCAGCTTTTGGCCCAGGGTTAAGGAATAGCTGATGATGCTGCCCATGGTTAGGAAAAGGCTCAGGAGCAAGCACATGCCACAGGTACTGTCTTCTCAGTCAGTCTCTTGGCTCAGAGCTAGGATACCAGCCTGACATCTCGAAGGGGCCAAGCTGTTTGTCAGCGTAGCAAGGCCCTCCTGAGTTCCCACTATATTGGCTGCTTAAAGTCTTCTCTATGGAAACTTTTAAGTAAAAACATAATACCTGAGGATACAACATCAGCTTTGGAGCCTTAAAATATGTTTCTTTCCTTTCTCTCACTTCTCTCATTTATATTCACACACACACATACACACACACATAGCTGAACGTCTGAAGGATACAGAGGGTGTCAATCATTCCAGTATCCAAACAGTCCCTGATATGCTCAAATTCCGACCTTAGGCCAGGCTGCTGAAACAGATCTTCCTGCAAAAGGGAAAAAAGTCACAAAACAACTATGTTCTTAGAAAATCAGCAATCATTTCCTGACCTAGAAATATAATCACAAGCACAGTACAAAAAGGAGCAGTGTGGTGAGGCCCTTGGGTCACCCTGGTAGATAATCTGATCAAGGCTGATGTGGCTAATTCATCTTGCAGGCCTTCCCAGGTGTGTTCTCGCAACAGGTCTTCCAGATGACATCTATTATAAAACTATGGGTAGGTATAGTATGCATGACAAGACAATCCCATGTAAGGAAAAACTTCAAAGTAGCTAGGCTTCTTGCAGTGCTACAGAGAGATTAACCAGAAAAAAAAAAAATGGAAGAAAGTATACCATTTATAAGATGGAGAAAGCTAAAAAGGCACCTAAGTGCTTTGTGCAAACAAGATTATGGCATTAAAGGCATTTCCATTAGTCCCAGGATACTTTATATTCATTTGTTTTATAAAATGATTTAAGCCATGTAACTGTGTTAACAGTAACAATATTATATGCATTCCCCAAAAGTTACATTTAAAAGGAGTTCTACAGAGAATGTTGATAAGAATGTTGGCTCTAGAGCCAGACTCCCTGAGTTGAAATCGGAATTTGAAATGGTTCTTCCCGGTTCAGGCATGGCCAAGGTAGGGAAACCGGGACAGGCCCAAATTTTTAAATTTGAGTGAACTGTAACAGGAAAAATTATGGGTTGAAGCCCTGCTAGAAACTTAATTTCCCTCTTAGAAAGCAAAGGCAGCAGACGCATAGCAACCAAATCTCTTGCCCATCGGATTTTGAGCAGAGTCAGAAACAACGCTGCCCCACTCAAAGAGGGCACCTGACCAAGCTGCTTTGAATGTGCATCACTCTCCACAGTCCTGACAATAATCCAATCTCACACATCAGGCTCCAGAAGGGACTCACTACACTTCTTCTGAATCTGTCATTCCAGTGATTCAACCCATAATTTTTCCTGTTCTAGATCACACAAATTGTAGCAATTCAGTCTGTTCTGGTTTTGCTCCATCAGCCGTGACTGAACTGGTTTGAAACTCTGGTTCAAATCCCATCCTTGCCCATATATCAGTTTTGGGACCCTGACCATCTGAGAGCTATTGTGAGAACTAAATGAGGAAATGCTCCAAAAAACACTTAGGATAGCGCTTGATATGTTGTAATAGCCAATAAATGTAAGCAAAACAAGAAGGGGAAAAGAGAAGATCCTAAAAATGCATGTTGTTCAATGAACCTTGAAAACATGCTGAGTAAAATAATTCAGTCACGAAATGACAATACTGTATGATTCCACTTATATGAAATATCTAGAATAGGCAAATGTATAGAGACCAAAGTTTATCAGTGGTTACTAAGAGAGAGCCGGAGGAGAAAGGGGGGACTCGTTGCTTAGGGGACACTGAGCTTCTGTTAAGGATGATGATGATGGTTGAATAACATTATGAACGTAGTCAGTCTCACTGAATTGTACATGTAAAAAATGTTGAATTAGCAAATGTTTTGTTACATATGGGGAGCTCTGGTGGCACAGAGGTTAAAGAGCTCAGCTGCTAACAGAAAGGTCAGCAGGTCCAGTGGTTTGAACCCACAAGCTGCTCTGTGGGAGAAGGATGTGGCAGTCTGCTTCTGTAAAGATTTACAGCCTACTCTGTCCTATAGGGTTGCCTATGAGTCAGAGTCAACTCAACAGCAGTGAGTTTGCTTTTGGTTTTGTTACATATATATTTACAACAACGAAAAGTTGAAATGGCAAATGTTTGGTTCCATATATATTTATCACAAAAAAAATGCTGAAATGGCAAATGTTCTGCTACATATATATTTACCACAATTTAAAAAAAAAAAAAAAAAGGTATGTTGCTCCAAAGTGGTAGAGCTATAAGGTTATACTTTGTATAGATCTCCCTGGGACCTATATAAGTGGGTCAATGAAATTGACCAATCTGACCCCATGAAGCTTGCTCAAGTCACACTAGAAATCAGGCCTCCTAACGCACAGCCCAGGGTTCTCCATCTGGTCCCCTGCCTCTGTTTGGCTTGTCAGCAAGTTAGCCCCTCCCACTTCCAGAAGCTGGCCAGAATTCCTGCAAAGGCAAGCAGGCTGGCATCCTGAGAGGCCTCCAAATGACTTTCTAGCTGAGGGTGCCCCAGAGACCAGGGAAGAGAACCTGCTGTGCTGGGAAGACCATCCTGTGCAAGGCTGCTTCCTCAGGGGGCAGTGGTAATCAGTGCTGTATGTAATAGCAAGTCTCACAATGGAGTGAGACATGAACACATCTTTCCTGCATTCACTCTCTAGAGGAAGAACAGTTCTCTTCAGGTCTCCTAGGGCAAACACTTTTAAAGCCAAAAGTTCTTGGGGCTGATGCTCCTTCTCAAGGCAGCTTGGCCTCAACTTTAACTGCCACCTACCTGCTGGATAGCATTTCGGTACAGGTAATCAACCATCATCCAGAGCTCTTTGGGGATATCCATGGGGTTCTCCAACCGGCTCCCATCATCTTCAGTCTGTACTGGCATCAGAGTCTGAAAAGAAATAAAATGCATGACAAGAAGGCCCACCAATGGAACTTCTGCTAGGCTGGCATCAGGAGAACACCTGACATGGGGACAGTAAACCCGTGGAAAAAGGGAAGCATTTCAATACCCCTAACCAAACATTCCACAGGCAAAAATGAAATCAGGTGGCACAATCAAGGGGCAAAAGGTGATTTTTGAGAATTCGGAGAGGATATGGCAAGCAGTTTCAATGAAACAGGTAAAATTTGCACCATCTTCTTAGGGAAAAAAAAAAATCATGCCTATAGTATTTCACTGTTAGAACCAGAGAGATGGTGTGGTCTGGTAAGGAAAGAACACAACAGACTTAGGAGTCCAAAAACCTTGGTTGAAGGTCCAAGTCCACTATTAGCTCACCGTGTGACCTGTGACAAATCACTCTCCTTGATTGGACCTCTGTTTTCATCTACACAATAGGGAGGATAGAGGTCAAGAGGTCATAAATAAAAAAACGCATTGGGAAAAAAAGAGCATACATATTATAAATCTGCTCCAAACTGGTCTTGTATTAGCATTATCTCCAAAGATGCCTTTCAGATCTCAGCAAAATTAGTTTAGGAAGATAAACTACCAAGTGATAATAAAAACAAAAAGCCACAGATAATATCATGGGCTAGGGAACCTTCATTATCTTAGTATACATGGCCAAGCTTCTCTAATGTACTATGCATGAAAGACTGAAAAACAAGAATACAACACTTTGCAGCTCTTCCCATAAAGAGGTGAAGTCTGTTTTCCCACCCTGTGGAACCAGGGCCTGCTTCATAACTTTCTCTAACCAATTAAATATGGCAGAAGTGGTACTGTGTGAGTTTTGGAGCCTACGCCACAAGAGGCCTTGCAGCTCCTGGCCTCGCACTCTTGGAATGTGCTTGCCACCACTTGTGGAAGCCTAGACTGGCCTACTGAATGATGAGAGACCGTGTGGAGAGAGAGGCCCAGTAAACAGCCGACACCATGCCATATGAGGGAGGCCATCTTGAACACTCTGGCCATTACAGCTGCCATCTGACTGCAACCGCCCAAAGGAGCTGAAGCAAGACTAGCAGAAGAACCACACTGGAGACTCACAGAATCGTGAGAAGCAATAAATTGTTGTTGTTTTAAGCCACTAAAATTTTGGGGTGGTTTGTTACACAGCAATATGTAACTGATAAAGTAAGCAAGCTCTAGGGAGACTGAAGAATTCTCAGGTCCCTGAGAAGGTAGGCACAGGAATTATCATTTTGAATAGCTTGACTGCTACACAGTTCTAGATATTTCCTTGTGGCATGTAACTCACCAGCTCTCTAATAGTTTCAAGTGGTAGGTCCAAGATCGGCTCCCTCATGTAGCACAATGTGTGAAGGGGAGACCCGAAACAGCTGGGCAGGTAGTTCCCAGACACAGACAAAAAGTAATCCTTTCCCCTGTCCAAGTGCAAAACCAGAATGTCCTCAAGTTTGTCTTCACCCGAGTTGAGCTTTTTAGCTGTGGTCTTATTTACATATAGCTCCAATTCAATCTCAATGTCAGAATCTGAGAAGAAAAATTTAAAAAATAATGTTGGCTTGGGAGAGACCTAAAGTAAAGGGAGAAAGATGATCGGAGGGAAGAGAGTAAGACATAAGGGGTTAGGGAAAGGAAATAAAAGGTATCAGCCAGTCAACAAGAATCTATGTGCTCCGCACTCAGGAGACACAGAACAGGGAGTTTATAGTCCAACTGGGAATACAAAAACATTTGAATAGATAAGTGCTATAAAATTCAAGTATTAAGCAGCACAGCTCAAGCTAGACATATTAATATAATAAGAAGGCATGGATCAAAGAGCTTTTTCTGAACTAGGTAAGCTCAAGATACCTGATTCAGTAGAAAACATAATACAATTACTGTGAAACTGCTTAATCTCTCTGCCACACAGCACAATACAGAGTGAAAAGGGGAAGTTAGGGGGAAGACTCAGATGGTACATTCTACAGTCAGCTATAACTTCTGAATTACCACCCATTATCGTTCTTCACAGGAGCAGATAATTGGGATTGGATTATAGTGAGATAGGCAGTGAAAATGGTTCCTTTAACAGCAACACCTGCTTCACAGCAATCTTGTGTTTTCTTTTTCCATGAAATTATGAAACATACAAACTACTACCGAGAAACTCATGCCCCTCACTATTTTATATTTTATTTATGGATGGGTTCATCCATTGTTGTTGTTGTGTGCCATTGAGTTGATTCTGACTCATAGCGACCCTACAGGACAGAGTAGAACTGCCCCATTGAGTTTCCTAGGCTCTAATCTTTATGGGAGCAGATCACCAGGTCTTTTCTCCTGCAAAGCTGCTAGTGGGTTCGAACTGTCAACCTTTTGGTTAGCAGCCAAGTACTTAACCATTGTTCCACCAGGGCTCCTTGGTTCATCCATAGGGCTTGAAAAAAGTTTTAAGTGGAGAATAAAACACTCAGAAGCAAAAAGCTTAGTTTAGGAGAATGAGCAAAGACAGGGTAGGTCACCCCCCAAACCAGCAACTGGGAATCTGAGAACAGAGGTCTTACCTGGCAGGAGGAACCCTCTGCTGGGATTGGCATTCAGCCACTGCTTACAGTAGGACACTTCATCAGGCTTGCTGATGAATTCAAACTGACAGGGTACTTGTCCATTATGAATTGTGAAGGATTCCACTTGCAACTGCATGTACTTCACATTCTGAAAACAGAACTGGGGGCAAACCCAAGACTAGTCAGAACCAATGCCCTCTCCTCAGCAACCTGCCCAGCTACCCAAACTGGGTTATTCTTACCCTGGAAAGAAAATAAAGAATTATCTCTTTAAAATAATGTTTCTGCAGGATACAAGGAAAAGATTAGTCCAAAGGACTAATTGTCCATAGCTACCAAGGCCTCCACCGGACTGAGTCCACTACAGCTAGATGGTGCCCAGCTACCACCACTGACTGCTCTGACCGGGATCACAAGAGAGGGTTCTGGACAGAGCTGGAGAAGGATGTAGAGCATAATT